TGAGTGGCGAAGCGCGGCGGTGTCGCCGCTGACCTGCCGCGCTGAGGGCTTAACAGGCAGTTTGGGCAGCGCAAGATGAGCAGGTCTTGGGAGCAGGGCCCGCCTTTGTCGTAGTGGAGAACTAGCTGCCGAAAGGTGTTTCTGTGCAAAATAAAGGGACTGTAGGCTGTTGTTGTTGTTGGAACACTGTAACATTTCTAAGTCATTCTTTCCATGAAATACTTTATAGGCAGACATGCTAAAATAATTCAGGGGTTCATTTAGGTCTATCCTATGGTAGACAGATGTCACTAGTGTAATGTCAGCACACTGCACTTTAGGTAATGCTTTTGTGTCAGCAGCTGGAGCCAAAACTATTGCATGTGGCCTTGAAGAGAGCTGCTTTCAAATTAGTTATCTCTGGACTAGAATAAATTAGGAAGTCCCAAGTTTTAAACATACTCTATTAAGTGAGCAGAGAGTATTTCCGTTGTTGTGGTTTGTTTATCCCTTTGTCAGCTTCATTATTCATGTTGTAATACAAGCTATGACACAGCAAATGCCTCCCCAATGATTTGCAGTTTTAAATTCTGGTTATAACTACTACCTGGTATACTAGAGCTACAAATATCTTAGTACAGCTCTACAATGTGTGAATATACTTGATACTGCACTAAAACGTAAGCACAGAAGAGATAATATGTAAAATATCCATATATAAAATACCAAACATACCCCAAATTAGAAACATTTTATTTCTTTAGGCCTTTGTAAATACCTGCAGAAATGCATATGCATTATTCTGTAGCATTTTTTATCCACAATTCACTGTTAAATCAGAAAAGCGCCAACACGCTTTTTGGTTTTTTGCAGGGGGAAATAAGAGGTTCTGTCAATCTTTTTTCCCTAAACTTGTAGTTCTTCAGAAAGCTGAAGTGAGTAAACATTTGCTGCTTCTAGCTTTTAGGTTCAGAGCCATATAGAACATGGTCAGACCCAGACTTTATTTGTTCTTAGATTACATTTGAAACTTAGGTGTCTGACAGCATCTAATGCTAAGTGACAGCTTTTTTTCAACTCGTCAGGAAAGACTGAATCTATTTTCAAAGACACACTTAAAGTATTTGAGACCAAGATGTATTTCTTCAGTTTCAAGAGAATCAAGTCTAAGGAGATGTAAGCAGCACAAGTTACACTGAGTATAAATACTAATTTATATTGCTTGTAAAGGATATTGAGGACTTCTGAAGACTGGATGTTTTTTTTCTTTATGGGGAAACAGTGATGTCATATCCCTTTCTTAGCCAATTGTTTCTGTGAAGTTTAGTGCAAACAGTGTGTAAGGGATGTTAATGCAAAAATGTATACATGTACATTAAGTGATCTCTGAAAACCCCAAATATGCAATTAGATCATTAATAAAATTAGTAGTTTGCAGTATCACTAAGGGTGATTTACTGAAATTAGCAGACTGATATAAATATGATATACGCATGATCTTTTTTTTCTTAACACTTTTTTCCAGATATTTCAAGATAACTTTTGTTTGTCATTGCATATATCAGGTATATTTTTAAAATTTAATGACTTGACTTTTTATTATATGTTGCTTTGTTACTTATAGTGTGTTCAGGTATTTTCAGATGCAGAAATGTGTTTCCCCAGTTCTTAATTCATTCTCAACCCTTACCACAATAAAAACACTTTCAGCCATACCCTTTCATGTAGTAAACCAGTGTTTCTTTCCTGCTTTTCTGAAACCTTATCTTTAATCCCAGCTTTAATTCTAATCCACAGACAAATGACTAGCAACTATCAGAATTAATAGCAAGTATTATCCCTTACCAGCCTTAGTTCTTCTTTCTAGCAGAGCACACAGTAGCT